GTGTCGCTTTGCGTTGAATTTTCGTCGATGTTAAGCCTAATGTAAACTTTTTAAAATAATAATCGTGGCTATTGTATCGTTAAAAATTATTTTTTTTATGTTTTATTTTGTTTGTAAAAATTATTTTACAAACAAAATAAATATATTGAAAAATATAAAAACAAAAAAAATTATACTTTAGAAGTTAATCTAGTATCAAAAACATTCGATTCAGCACGACACACAGTCCTCAGAAAAACACCACACAAAAGTGCCAGTGCTGCCAGCTAAAACACATACATCAACAAAAAAAAATATTGGAGTAGCTGAAGATATAGCCAAAGATTGCAGCGCCACAGCACTAGCAAAAATTTTAATTTGCCGACTGGAATTCTTTCGGATAACTGATGTTTTGGATAACCAACGCTCTACTGTATAATAGTTTTAAGAATTAAAATTTGCATGTATTAACTGTATAATAAATTATGTAAAAATTGATGTTCTTATATACTATTAAATTTACTATGGTATAAAAAGAGTTACAAGTGATATACAATATAAATCTCTTATATTTGTTATTTTTAATCTGAAATCACTGTGATCATTCGTATTATCCAAGGGACTAGCAGTCCACATTAAGGGTTCAGATAATTAGAATTCTACTGTACTGAAATATAGTTGATAAATTCTAAAACTAATGTTTCTAATATATTTTGTTTATGATTAACATATTTTAAATTTATTAATTGAGAAAGAGTTCTAAAAATATAAATAAAAACATGAATAAAATATAATACAGTTGAACCTGTCTATCTTGAACCTCACAGAAACAAGAAAAAACTTTGAGATAGACAAAGTTTCAAGATATAGAGGTTTCTATGCAGTAAACTGTAACAGGTTTGACTGGTGGTAAAGTATTGTATTAATAAAATAGCATGTACAGTTCATTCCTGTATTAGGTATAATAAAATATTTTTGACATATTCTGTGTAAGAAACTGTAATATTTTCTTTGATACCCCCGCCTCTTCCTTATCTTACGTAATATTTAGACACGATTTTAAAGAAAGATTTTAACAAAAAAAATTTTTTTTATGAAACCCTAATAATCTTAGGTCCAAAATATATAATTATTAATTAGTTAATTAATATGTACTATTAATTATTTATAAAAGACTTTATGTGAACAAATTTAAAAATATAAAAAATTTTAATAACTTGTTTGCAAACAAAGTTTTATTGATCTCTTTTCAAACTTTCATCAACCCCTAAGGCAGGGATGGGCAAATTTTATCTATGTAAGGGCTACATTAAAGTCTTTTGAACTGAAATGGGCCCTGCACAAGGAAAAAAGGGCAATTTATTCATAAGTAATTATAAATTAATATAGGTATACTTAATGCGACTTCTGGAACTGATGTGAATGTAATATAAATATTTGGCTGAATATTAGTCACTGCTAGTTTTAAATCCGTTCTTATGTGAGACTGTTAGCTGATTTATTGTTTTACTTTTTACTAAATTTGTATCTAAAAAATGAAAAAAGAATGTCACCTGATCATCTTTATACAGTCGCTGATTATCTGGATGCACCTGTGTGATGCCTTCAACCATTTTCTTTAAATCATAGACAGACGTTGTCTCTTTTGCATCAAGAAAAATAGTGGATTTTTTTCGTCTAATCATAAGAAATACATCCTACATTTAAAAAAAAAAAAAATATATACATTTTATTGTAATTTATTTATTTATAACAAAATATGTAATTACAATTACAAAAATCACGAAATTTTCTGTAAATGGAAAAATAAGTTTTCATTTTATCTTTAATTTCGAAAAATTTATAAAATTCTTTAAAGAAATAAAAATCATTAGCAATTTTTAACAAAAATAAAATTAACAGCTTGATTATAAAGATCTTAAAAGTAATTTTTTGGCCTTGCCCAAATACTGTTAAATCACACGTGCTTCAGAAAAACCTTTAACTGATGTGAAATAAAATTTAACAGTACAAAGTTTTCAGACCCCTCCTGGGTCCTTCTTCAGGTAAAAAAATTGTTTGAAACGTTACTAAATACGAAAAAACATTTGTTTGGAATAACTTTTTAAAAATCAGAAAGATGTGAAGTTGATTGTTATAATTACTGTTAAATCACCAAATCAAACCATTATTGTTTGAATGAATTTTTGACATGCTTCAAATTTAGAATTTTTTTGTGTGTTATTTTTTTGTTTTATATATGTTTTTTGTTTTGTAAATTCAGCTTGAGAAGTTTTATTACATTCAAATTCAGACACAAGTTTGTATTTTTCCTTCAGCATAAGCTCTGTTAGCTTTTGAATACTCATTTCTAACAGAAATGTGAAACACGTGCTACAAATAACACATAAATGAAAGGTGAGAAAATGCAAAATCGGATTCTGCTGTGATGTTGATATAGATTGCATATTTTCTTTTTGTTTATCTGTTATTATTTTATATACAAAAATACATTCACATTAATAAAATACCTTAACATTTTATATATTAAATTAATAAATAAGTCAACTCCCCTCCTGAAAAAAATAAGATCCACTGCACAGTAAGCTGTGTGGTATGAACTCATTTTTTCAGAAGGGGAGTGTGGGATAGAAAAAGTATATCAATTTATCTAGTGGTGACAAGTTAATTTATTATTACCGTTTATCCATCTGGAAATATAATGCACTTTGTCAAGTAAATTTGATTATCACTATTCAATTACTTTTACCAGTAATTAACAAATTTTGCAATTTACCTTATACTACT